TGTGATATAATCTGAGTACAAAAGTGCCTATCGAGTTATGGAGTTCTATCTTCCTATGCTTTCCGTTTGGTTTGTCGATGGATAGTTGCCTTTGGGCTGATTCCTAGCACCCGGGGGCTCGTTGAATGGACCGAGTAACGCAATGTGCTAAGTATTATTCGGAATAAATCAAAAGCATAGAGATAAGATGAATCTATTTTCTGCTCTTAACAATTGCAAAAGTACCTAAGTAGTAAACTCCGATCCGTGAAACTTTGTTTCACTAATGACGACTTCCAGTGCTTGGGGGCTATGACTAGTCGGGCAGAGTGTTTAAACGTAAGGAGTCATTTGCTCGAGGAAATCAAAATTGACAAGAGGAGAAATATATATTTATAAACATTTTAAAATACCTGAATTTTCCTCGAGTATTATATTTACATCAGATAGTACTCATCCTATATGATTGTTCTGTAGGATCCAGATCCAGATATGCATAAAAGGGATTCATGGCTTTAAGCTTATCCCCTACGCTCCAGGAATGGATCAGTCAGAACATCACCGCCGGCTTGCCTTCGCCGCCGCCGACTGGTGTCTTCGCCTACACGGTTGGTTGGTCACACCACCGTTGTTGGGCGTCTACGTCTTCACCACCGGCTTGCCTTCGCCGCTGCCGACTGGTGTCTCCGCCTGCACAGCTGGCCTATTATGCCGCTGTTATTGGGCGTCTACGTCTTCTTCGACCGGCCGCTTCGTCCGCCGCCGACTAGTGTCTTCGTCTATACGGTTGGTTGGTCACACCATCGTTGTTGGGCGTCTACGTCTTCACCGCCGGCTTGCCTTTGCCGCCGCCGAATAGTGTCTCCGCTTGCACGACTGGCCTATTATGCCGCCGTTGTTGGGCGTCTACGTCTTCACCACCGGTTTGCCTTCGCCGCTGCTGACTGGTGTCTCCGCCTTCACGACTGGCCTATTATGCCGCCGTTGTTGGACGTCTACATATTCACCGACCGGCCGCCTCGTATGACGCCAACTGGTGCTATTGTCTTCACGGCTGGCCACGTCGCCGCCGCCACTGCTAATAGGCGTCATCATTTTCAATGCAAGCTGTCTACGTCTGCTGCTGATTGGTTTCCTCACTTCCATGACTGCATGATTCTGCCAGTGTTGGTTGACCTTATCGTTTTCACTGCCGGTCGTCTCGTCTGCTGCTGACTAGTGCTCTCACTTCTACGGCTGCCGACTGGAGTATCTATCTTCACGACTACACGTCTTCGCCACCGGTTTTCTTCTGTTGCCGCCGACTCGTGCTCACTTCGTCACGGCTATGCAACTTTGTCACCATGAATTCTACTCGGACATCTTCAATACGCATCTTCACTCAAGCAATGGCTACTCGACGACAAGCTACAGTTCTCGACTTCAGTTATTTCCCAACTAACCAAAGAGTCGGGGGCTACACAAATACAAGACTCAAAATTCGACAGATGTTATGTCAACATGAAGCAATCAATTAATCAACCAACGAATTCTATGGAATCTACTTCGGGAGTCATCAGCTTCGTCCTCGCTCCAAAGCAGTCTCAGCAATTCCAATTATTTTACTGGCAATTTTGGCTTCTCAACGCTGTCATAATCTACTCCAAAAATCTCAAGTATCAAGTTCAAGATTTAATCTATATGTTCGGAAGTTTGGAGTTCAATCAATTAACTCAGATTCAATGAGTTGGACGACATCATCTATTTTCCTCCAAGTGAAGCTTCTGCAAAAGCTATAACACCAAATTCTACTGCTATCTTTATAAATCAAGGGGCATTGCATCAATCTTTGCTATGCACACGCTCGCACCAAGGAAACTACTCGAGCTTCGATATCTTCTTAGCAGTTTGATGGATTTTTATCACTGACATCATCACCAGCTCCTCTACTTCATCGGCCTGACATTTCTGTTGTTGCTAATGGATGATTATGTCTTCGCCGACTTATTATTTCACCTTCATGGTTGACCTACTATGCAAACACTGATGAGCGTCTTCGTCATTTTCATCGGCTGTTACACCGCTATTGACTGGATCGCCGACATCGTCATCTTCATCAACATCCTGTCAAGCCTCTTCAACATAGCCTACTCTGCTGCCGTTGATAGGCAACTTCGTCATCATAGCCGGCTATCTCTGTTGTCGCTAATCATCATTACCGTTGGATGCGTTTGCCGTCGCCGACTATTTTCTTCATCTTCATCATTGGTGGATTTCGCCATCACCGTTGATGCGCGTCTACGTCTTCATCGTCGGCTTGCTTTCGTCGCCACCGACTGCTCTGTCATTGTTGTTGGGCGCCTTCATCTTCACTGCTAGCTGACCTGACTGCTGCCGACTGGTTTCTTCACCTCCATGGCTGTGCAATTTCATCACTTTTGATTGGTATCACTATCTTCACTACCACCAATATTTTTGCCACCTCTAGTGGGCAATATTATCTCTATATTGGTCGTCTTGTCTCTATGCCAACTGCGTCAGCTACCATCAATGGACAATTGTGACTACGACAGAAGGACAATCTATATGCTTAGGGGCTTACTAGCTCAAACACAAGTATGATACATTCAATTTAGACTTGTTCCGGATACATGCAACATGAATTCTTGATCATGGGTCTATTTTCTATGCTCAAAGACTGGACTATTTATTATTCCCCGTAAGGGTTATCAACCGAATACTTGCGCTAGTCGGGATTCAATTGTTATATCTATTTTGGAGTATCCCATAAAGGATAATCGCTCAGATCAGAAGCTATTCATATAAGCTACACTTGGTCTATATCCCCCGGAAGATTTATTACTCGGGAGCATGATACATGCCTCATCCTTTAAAGGGTGTCGAAGGCATATTTTTTGGCCTAGGCCTAATATGTCTGTAGCCCATATTTTTAACTATGTATATATTTCACCTACATAGTCAGAAATTCTACAAGACAGAGTGATTAATTAGTTACTATATCAAAATAAATACGAGAGAACGGGTTTTGGCGCTCGTACATATATGAGGGGTGATTTTTTTTTTAGGGGTGCGCTCGTACATATATGATGCTAAGTATTCATTGTATAGAGCTTGTTTGTTTTGTTATAGAAACTTAACCATCCCCGTCAAAATCTGACGATACTAAAATTTGGCATATTTTGATATTAACCTTATCAAATCTTGGCATGGTTCTTTACTAGCTTTTAAGGGTGGAAATTTTTGAAATTTTAGTAGGGTGACAACGGTAATAATATATTTGGTTTGTTGATTTCTATTAAAACTTGATAATCATCAATATTTATTAAGGCTAAAAATTGACAACAAAACGAACCAGGGCTTACAAACATACTCCCATACATTTTGTGTGTGTTTTCATCTCATCTCTCTCGTTTTTCCCGTGTACGCTTTTTAAACTATTGAATGATATATTTTTTTTCAAAAAATTTATATAGCAAAGTTACTTTTAAAAAATCATATTAATATATTTTTCAAGTTAGTTTTAGCTAATACTTAATTAATTATATGCTAATGAGTTGATCTCTTTTTCATGCTAGAGGGGGAAGGTTTCCAATCAACACAAACGAAAGCAGCCTAAAGTTACTATAAGTTCACACCATGCTTTGAATATTCTTCGCTCCCTTCACCAGAGAGATGGAATATCATCCACAAATGATAAAAATAACATTATCATCGTTTCACTTATGTTTATCATGCCATTCGCACTGCATATTAGCTTAAAAAAATACAAATAAAACTTCGGAATCGCTAGAATTGTGTCAACACAATTTCTCCTCCGTCACGGTCAGTGTTCGATTTCGTTGTCCCGTGCCAGTGTGATCCTGTTCGTGCATATTGCCGTGGCAACTGACGTTGCGGCTGTGATAACATGATTAATTAAACGGAATTGCTAAACATCAGTCGACAAAAAACATACCTCTAAATCTTGCAAATTTTGGTTCACTAGATGTGCTTCGCGATTCGTGCTCTAGCTGCTTCTTCTCCAACTCCGACGAACTCTTCCTTTTCTTCTTCGACGCCGGCGACAACCCAAACTCTGGCGAAGGCCGACGAATTAGGGTTCTGGGGTGGGGAGGGGAGGGGGAAGAAGGGGGAGTTCGCCGAGCTTAGAGGGATGGTCGTGGGAGGCGGCGGCCTGGTGGTGGGCGGCGGAACGGGCGGGCGGCGAGGCATCGGTGGCGCCGGAGCTGCGGGGATGGAGGAGGGCGGTGGGCCGGTGTTGGTGGCGGGGGCATAGCGAGTTTGTGTCTTGTGGTGGCCGACGGTGCCAGATCTGGCGGCGAGGAGTCACCGGAGACGAGGAAGATGACGAGGCGAGGGGGGAGGGGGAGGAGGCCGGCCAGCCGGCGAGGCCGGGCGGCGGTACGCTGGGGCGGCGGCGGAGGCGGCGCGCGCTCGCGCTAGGGAGAGCGGCGGCGTGACCGCGTGAGGAGGAAACGGGAGAGGAGGCGGTGCTTTAGGGATTGGTTGGTTGCACGAATCTTAAAGCAATCAGATGGTCTAAAATTTACAAGATTTCTATGGGGGTTTTCTGTCAAATGATCTCTAGACAGCCCCTTAATTAAAACTTAGCATCTTCATTGTTTCAAACTTATGATGGTTTTACACGCATGCATTCTATTCTTTATACAAATTTACGCTGTAGTTACACCCTACTTCTATCCCACTTACACACCACTTACACATGTAATTTTGAGACTTACATACACACTACTTACACATGTAATTACTATGTAATTTTGAGACTTACATACATAATTTTGAATCTTACATTATAAATACACTAAATTTACATATGTAATTTAGGTACTTACAATGTAAATATATGCTGACTATTTTTTAAAAAAAAATATGACGTCATGAATATGCTACTCCCATAAAACTTTATATAAACGTCGTTAGCTATTTAAAATACATATTGTAAAATAAAATATGAAAAAATACTATAAAATAAACTTTAAATTTTGAGTTTTAAAATTTAAAATTTACAGAATGTTATAAGCACGAGCATAGCTGAAACGATAAGGCACTTTACAGCTTAGCGGCTGGACTGACTGACAGCTATCCCAAACCGGCAAAAATCCCCACGTGGGCCGGGCTAACTCCCTCCCTGGAATCCTCTCGTCGTCGTCGTCGCCGCCGATTCCCTCGCACCAATCCACACACCGCCGCCGCCGCCGCCTCCTCTCCCCTCCATTTCAGCCACCAACCCCGGCTAGCTCCACCTCGTCGTGCGCCAACTGCGAGCGAGGGAGTGGAGTGACTCCGGAAGCCAAGCGCGGCGAGAGGGATGGAGGGGGCGGCGCCGCTTCTGGCGGCGCGTGGGGAGGAGGAGGTGGTGGAGGGGAGGCGGCGCGGGGGAGGGGGCGGGGCGACGTCGGCGCAGACGCTGGGGAACGTGGTGGTGTCCATCGTGGGGACCGGGGTGCTCGGCCTCCCCTACGCGTTCCGCACCGCCGGCTGGGTCGCCGGCTCGCTCGGCGTCGCCGCCGCCGGATGCGCCACGCTCTACTGCATGCTCCTCCTCGTGAGTTGCCTCACCACCACCACCACCACCACCACTACTACTACTTCAGTAGACTTCTTCCCCTTTTTGCTTGATTCTGTTTGTCTCTGTTTGTTAATCGAATCTCTCTCTCTGTTTTTTTTTGGGTGGGGGAGGGAAATGGTGTTGTGCTGTAATCAATCAAAAACTCTGGAACTGAAAGTATAATAATTGTTGGTTGTTGCAATTATAGTGCTAGCTGTCGCAGTCAATCAGCGCGTACTCTGGTTTTGGATTAGCATGCATTTTTAGATGAGGTTACTATGCCCAATTTTTGTTTCATTTGACATCGCAAATTTGGTTCCAATAAACACAGAAGTATCTCCTATTCATAGTGATTCAGTAGAAATTGGAGGACCTCAAAACCAAAGTAAGGGGCGCCAGTATATGTATGTCTTATCATCATGATTCTTCTCTCTCCATATTCTATTATACTTATGTATTATTTGATTTTCGTTTAGCATGTTGATCTAGTTCAACTGGGTTTTTTAATGTGAAATCAAAGTGTCTATAATGTTCCTTTCAGTCTTGCTTAACATTGCCTGGTAGAATTTTGATTGTAACATCAATAAATTATAAACAGGATGCGTAAGTCTACAATGTTCTTTCTACCTTGTGTTGAATTTGGTTTAACATAAGTGAATTAAACAGGATCTGTAATTGTAAACGCTAGTTTCATAACTTTATTACCTGCTTCATCTTCTTACGAAAATTACTTGCTTTTCTTTTTCAACATGAAGGTTGACTGCAGAGATAAATTGGAAGAGAAAGAATCTGAAGAAACCTACCATGGTCACTATACATATGGTGATTTGGGTGAAAAGTGTTTTGGCACTATAGGTCGATGCTTGACAGAAATCCTCATCCTTGTTTCCCAAGCAGGTGGATCTGTAGCTTATCTAATATTCATTGGCCAAAATCTTCATTCTGTCTTCAGCCAGTTGATGTCACCAGCTGCCTTCATCTTTGCCATTCTCCTGCCTATGCAAATCGCTCTATCATTCATCCGTTCACTATCTTCTCTCTCCCCATTCAGCATATTTGCAGACGTCTGCAATGTTCTTGCTATGGCAATTGTTATCAAAGAGGATCTTCAGCTTTTTGATCACCCATTTGCGAATAGAAGTGCTTTCAATGGACTTTGGGCGATACCATTCACTTTTGGAGTTGCGGTCTTCTGCTTCGAAGGATTCAGTATGACTTTGGCACTAGAATCATCAATGGCAGAACGGAGAAAATTCCGCTGGGTACTTTCTCAAGCAGTTGTCGGTATCATAATTGTCTATGCATGTTTTGGAGTTTGTGGTTACTTAGCCTATGGGGAGGCCACTAAAGACATCATAACACTTAATCTTCCCAATAGTTGGTCTTCTGCTGCCGTTAAGGTTAGTGCACTAGTCATAATTTATTTGATGTTGTTTCTTTTGAAGTAAATGTCAGCATGTACTTTGTGCGGTTGCAACTTGAGACTTCATTATTTTATATTTGGAGATATGAATATAAGATCATGAACTACCTGACAGATTTTGCCTGAGATCTGCTGTTTGGAAATTAAAATATTTGGGTCACTTTCATCAAATTGGACTTAAAAAATAGCAATTAGCACTGATTTAGGTATGTAATGGATCCTGACAGTTTGAAAATCTGCTGACAGGTTGGTCTTTGCATAGCACTGGTATTCACATTTCCAGTCATGATGCACCCAATCCACGAGATTGTCGAGGAAAGATTCCAATCAAGTGGATGTTTCCCGAAGCTCTCGCACAAGGTTCGCGGGGCTGAATGGGTGGGCCTGCACTCAAGCCGCATCGTCATGGTAACTATCCTGTCTGTGGTGGCATCCTTCATACCTGCGTTCGGGTCCTTCATCTCCTTTGTCGGGAGCACGGTTTGCGCGCTGCTCTCCTTCGTGCTGCCTACGATCTTCCATCTGAGCATTGTGGGTTCCTCGATGAGTCCGTGGCGACGCTGGGGGGACTACGGTTTCCTTCTCTTCGGCCTTGGTTTTGCGGGCTACGGGCTCATTAGGGCTCTCTTCTCACATTGACTGATGATCCAAATGGCAAAGAACCACAATGCAGGATTCAACTGCAGAATATGTCCAATCTGGGAAGTGGGAACGAAGGCATTGAGATGAGATGTATTTACTGCCTTTGTTGTTCAGGGTGTAATATATGTGATGCCAAGATCTAGGATTATGTGATAATGATCTTTTGTTGGTGTAAGTTATATGTATATTACCAGTGTCACGCAGTGACGCAATGGATCATGCTATCCAATCAATTTTCATATGTTCTTAACTTTTTATGTTTGGAAGAAAAATAAGCAGCATGCAGAGTGCACATTTTTGGTCTCTATTATCATCAGGCTAATATGCCGTGACAACACTTTGTGTTTCTCAGAACTGCTTGGTTGCTAAGAAATAACATCTGTGTGATGGGATGAGAGAGATGAGAACAAAAGAAATCGTGACCCGAACAAGTTTTGAAAAATTAAGAATGCATGTTTTGGAATTTTTCATGAAAAGAGATATCCCTGAAGTTGAAAAATATTAAAATTCACGAAACTAGTATATATTTTGGTACTTATATTTATTAAGACTCGTTAAGTTCTTATATTGTGGAATCCTGTCTTTTAAGAGGGACTTCTGTATTATCCAGAAAAAAAAAAGAAGAAAGGCCTGATTTTTTACAGGCAAGCCCAAATCGCTAGCTAGGCCCAAAGCTTCCGAAAAAAAAAAAGAAAGGAAGGGCAAAAAAGAAAAAAAAAAGGTACGCGTACGGCGTACGCTACACGCGGGGTGCCCCATCCGCTGTGTATAATACGTATCAAGATACCCGTATACGTACGCCTCTCCTAATCCCCCTCTCTCCCTCGAAACCCTAATCCCCCTCTTGCGATTTTCGCGAAACCCTAATCCCCCTCTCGCGATTCGCGATTCCCTCTCCCTCCGCCATGGCCGCCGCCGCCACCACCACCGTGGAGGTCTCGGACGACGGCGACCACCCCGTCCTCCGCGACGACGAGCGGGGGATCCCTCGATCCCTCTCCCTCCTCGCCGCGATCGTGGAGGCCGACGCCGCCCGCCACGCCGCCGCCGCCACACGGCCCGCCGAGTCCGACCTCGTCCGCGCCTTCCGCGGCGGCGCGACGCCCACCGTCGCGATCGGGGAGTTCCTGGAGCGGATCCACGCCTTCGTCCGGCTGGAGAGCGTCCGCCACGACATCCGGCTCCAGGCCACGTGCTACGTCCTCGCCGGGATCTACCTCACCCGGTTCTTGGGGAGCGCCGCCGCGGTGGAGGCCGGGATCCGCGTCGACCCGTCCACGGCGCACCGCCTCGTCGCCGCAGCGGTCTTCGTGGGCGCCAAGTTCGGGAACACCAGCGACATGCTCCCGACGAGGTGGACCTCCGTGTTCGAGACGAGCTCCGACGCGGCGATCCACGCGGGGGAGATGGCCGGGCTCGAGCGGCGCTTCCTGCGCGCCGTGGACTACCGCCTGTTCGTCCGCAGCGACAGGTTCGGGTGGTTCTGCGGCGCCATGGAGCAGGCGCTGCATCGGAGCGTGAGCCGCAGCAGGAAGAGGACGGCGGCGGAAGCAGTGGGGGGAGAAGAAGGGGAGGACGAGCGCCGCCGCCGCCGCCGCCACAGCATCGTCGGGGCTTTCCTGCCGCCGCTCCCAGCCGTCGCCGCCAATTAGGTTCACCATTTCTGAATTCAGCTTCAAATATTTTACTACAGATTGTATTTTCTTTTGCTGCTTCTTGTGTTTAGAGTTGTTTGCAGGTCATCGGGGTGGAGAAGACGACGGACGGCCGGCCGGAGTTGGAGTTGGATCGGCTAGAGCTCGCCGCCGTTGGCCGGAGTAGTTTTACAGAGTTTTAGCCATAGGATGTTTATAATTATATATATTGAGCAACTGTTAGCTTTGTCAGAGTTTAACTGTCAGATTATATCGATCAATCAGTAATAGATTTCCAATGTAATCCTATAACCAACTATATAAATATAAATAATAAAAAAAGTAACTTTCTGCTATTCTGGTGTATGGAGTTCGTATCCATCTGGATTGTGGATTCTGTAATGGAAGCCTCTGTTGCTGTGGCTTTTGTGAATTGTGATTGTTTGATTGATCTGTGAACTTGCCCGTTCCGTGTCCTGAGAGAAGTTGTCTTCAGCAAAGAGTGCTGAACCATGTAAGGCATGCAGATATATATGTGATGGTTTGATTATAAATATGCACATATGTTGTTTGCAAACATCTTTAAAAAGCGACAGTTGTTTGATTAATCTTACCCCTAAGTTCATATGTTAAATCAATGGCTCAGGATAGGGGTTGTCACACATCCAAGGAGCCTACTCCTATCTAGCAATATTTGTTTGAGGAGTGCGACCTTTTCAGGATGAGGGACTCAGGGACAATGACTGCATTGGCATCATCATGGTTCTAGCTCATGAAGTGTTCAGCCAACATTGGGCAGATTTTCAGCAAAATAGCATCGTACGTACGTAAGAAGGGCACACATAATTCTCTACTGAAAGAGTTCACGTTTTGTAAAGCATGTTATATATAAAAGCTTTGTTGGTACGTAATGTGTAGGCAATCTTACCTGGTGAGAAAGATGAGTTGAGTTTAATTTGCAGGTCACATAGCCGAGGAAACATTTGGCTGCAAATGATAGATTGAATTAACATAAGCAGATGCAAGTATATGTAACCTACTGTATGCTGTATTTGGGTATTTTTCTGAAATATTTGGGTATTTTTTAAGTAGGTAGGTATATAACTAAATTAATTTATACGTAAAGTAAGTGCGAGAAATAAAATGTTCTGGTTGGAAATATTTGGATATTTTTTAAGTAGTTAGTTATATAATTAAATTAATTTCTAATTAAAGTAAGTGTGAGAAATAAAATGTTATGGTTGGATTTAATGTTTATTCAATTTTCTATATTATTAATTACACTCATTGAAATTTTCGTAGCTTAATTGCTAATTTTGATAATACAAACATCATTTTAGCATTTATTTAAATAAAAATCTAAATAAAAATTCTTTTATCTCTATGGGCCTTTTTCAGCCCACTTTCTTCTTCAGCCCGCAAGCGACAAAAGTCTAATTTTTATCCCTATACTCTTTATCTCGCTTGCTGATCTGCCGGCCCGCGTGCGGCCCAACGCTCGATCGATATGAGCCGTTCGTTTTGATGAACGGCTCAGATCAATTCCAAATCGTTAAAAACCCTAACCCTCCCCCTCCACCCAGCCGAGCCACCCCCAACGCTGCCTCTCCTCCTCCCCGTCTCCCTCCGGCGCCGCTTCCCCTCCCCTCCCCTCCCCTCCTGCGCCCCCTCCCCCACAGCCGAGCCGGCCGCCTCCCCCGCCCCCGACGCCGCCTTTCCCGCTCCCCTCCGATGGTCCCCTCCCCCCAGCCGAACCGGCCGCCTCCCCCGCCCCCAACGCCGCCTCTCCCCCTCCGCCTCTCCCCACCGATGCCGCTTCCCCTCCCCTCCCCTCCGGTGGCGCCGCTCCCTCTTCCCCTCTCCCTCCCGTCTCACCGGCACGGCGTGGGCGACGGCGGGGTGCAGCGGCGACGGCGGACAGCTCCCTCTCCCCTCTCCCTCCTGTCTCATCAGCACGGTGCGAGTGACGGCGGGGAGCGGCGGCGACATCGTCGGGGTCCGCGCTCCCTCGGCGACGGCCGTCCCTACGGCAGCGTCGACGGCGACAACGGCGTCTGTGGCGTCCGCGGGTAGAGCCGCCGCTGCCGGATCCGCCCGCGATCGCCGCCACCGCTGGGAGCCGCCGCCTCTCTTCTCCCTCCGGCAGCGGTGGTCGGCGGTGGTGATGTCAGCGGCCGTCGATATTTTTTTTTTTGCAATTTTTTCTATCCCTATTGCTAACCAAATCGGATTGTGTACGGACGAAAATTAGATGTGATGACCCGAAAAATACGAATATTTATATTAGTTATAGATTAGTTAAAAAAATATCGAGTTTGATTTTTCTAAAATGGATTAGGTGACGGTATGCTAATTCCGTGGACGGAGCTCCTCTAACGTACCGTCAGAGGGACCTGACCTGGGTCGCTGACGGGTGATACCCATCTTCATATGCCCACACGATAGTAAGGATGTCCATCTGACTTTACGTCAGATGAGCCTCTTCCAATTTTTGGCGGTTTGCCACCGCAATACAACATCGGTCGGATCGGAGACGTTCGCGACAGGCGAATGCTCGTGATTCGATTCGTGAACGACTCACCGCCCAAAACTAGTGGGTCCCACCTGTCATCCGTTCCGCTTTCTAAAACCCTTCGACCCCAATCCCGAGTTCACGAGGCACACGCTTTGGTTTCGCCGCGGCGGCGGCGCCCTTCCCCGAATCTCCTCGTCGTCGTCGGCGGCGGCGCCGCCACATCCCCGCAGCGTTGCGCCAAGGAAGTGATCCCTACTCAACCCGCCATCGGCGAGACCGATAAACCCTAGCCCTAGCTAGGTAGGCCGCCTGGGCCGATTCCCGATGGAGAAGAAGAAGACGACGAGGGCGGAGGATGCGGGTGCGGATGTGGATGCACAGTTGCCGGCGCGTCGGGTGGCGGCGGCGGCGGAGCCGAAGCGAGCCCCCGGCGCCGACGCCTACGCCGCCGCCAGGTACAGGCTGTTCAGGAACAACTTCGTGGCGGCCGCCGTCGCGGTGGCCCTGTGCCTCGGCGCGCTGGTCCACACCATCCTCTGCCGCGACGACCCGACGGTCGTCCCTAGGTACGTCTTGCCTCTGCTCGTCATGTGCTGTGCAACCGCGGAAGTCGTTCGCAACTATGTCCAGATGTACGGGTGGTCTGTCCCCATGGGAGTTGCCAGGTTCAGGATGAAGTGATGAGTTCATTGGCCGCAAATCGTAATCGTAGTGGAGATCCTAGTTGGGTGAACAGCTTTTTTTAGAATTAGGTTATCGAGGTGATGAGGGATTGAGTGCTCTAATTGTGCAAATTTAATCGCGGTTTACGTTTATCTGGGATGTCTGATGTAAGTATGTGCCGTCGCTGTTGACCTACTCTATATGTAAGGTACTAGTCGGCAAGCATAATCAGATTCAGAAATGCTTTGTGGTTAATTAGTTTGTTTTGTGGGATGTCAACTATATATGAATCAAGCCTGTTCCATTTACTCTTTTTCTTTCTTTCTTATCGAGTTACTTATTGCTGAGCTGAGATATGCAGTTTATGGTTGTAATTATATATTAATACTCAGCTGATATAATGTTACTGTGTACAGCTATTCTTGCTCCCATAGGGGTTGCAATCAAATTCTTCTCTATCAATGAAATAAGCACATTCTTGTGCTGGTTCATTCAGAAAAAGAAATATATATATATACTGGATATAGAGGTAGACGTGTGTTGAACTGTGAACTCTGAAACTGAGATTCACATGTTCAGAGTTCACCAGCTATGTTGGAGTGACAGTTTTCATAAATTGGTATGTTGGACAATTGGGGACTTGCTGTTAACTTTCATGTAGCACTAGTACCCAAATTTGGTAGACCAATAAATTACTGAAATTGTGAAGCAAGAGCTGAAATTCTGTTTAGTTGAATGCTCTGAGTCTGGCTCGTAACTTGGGAACGTGTTCTTCAAATGTAGATATGACAATCATACAGTTGTCATAGGTTGATAATCTTTTTTTGCCGGGCAACCACTGACCAATTTCATTAAGATTTGGGGGGCATAGGTTGATAATCCTTACAATTTACCCAGAAGTGATTTGATCTAGAAGGCTAGAATCTGAATCTGCTTCAGTGAACAACTTTTACCATCAAGTTCTTGAAACGTGATTGTGCTTTCTTATACAAATTAACTGTGTCTTACATTTACTCACTGAAGTAAGTATGCCAACTTGCTGTTTATATGCTCTATATATTAGGATTATCAACCTATGACAACTGTATGATTGTGGTTAGTTGATGGAGTATGAAGCATTATTGTTCTGTCATTGTTTTTGTCGAGTTATTATTATTACTTATTGCATATCTATGTGCTTTGTGGTTGTAAACTTGTAACTATAGGTTAATCCAGTTGATATACTGGTACAGACATAGTGCATCTGTTTTCTTATCATAATAGACAGGTTGGTGTGCCTGGCCTGACCATCAAATTGTGAACTGTGATGCTTGGATTCGCATGTTCACCATCGAAGTAGTCTTGACAGTTTTCATAAATTTATCTGTTGGACTATTGTTGTCTTATTGTGAATTTTGATGCAATCACTAGTACCCATTTCCCTGATTCCGTCAACCAATAAATTATTACTGAACTTGATGAAACTGTAGTTAAAATACTTGAGTTGAATGCTCTGAGTTTCTGACTGATATTTTGGGCATATGATTGCCCTTGTACTAAAAATGTAGATCTTACAATGGAAAACGACTGCCCCTATACTAAAAATGTAGATCTTACAATGGAAAGGGACTTCCCTTATTCTAAAAATGAAAAGAACATGGTGTATCTCATGCAGTTTGTCATATGCAGATAGATCTTACAGGTCGCCAAGAAGTGACTTGATCTTAGAAGGCTGAAATCTGAATCTGGTCCAGTAAACAACCTTAATTATCAAGTTTTGGAGGCGATGAATGTGCTTTCTGATACACATTTTTATTATCAAGTTTTGGAGGCGATGAATGTGCTATCTGATACAAATTAAATGCGGTTACATTTACTTAGGATGTCTGATGTAAGTTTGTCTCATTGCTGTTGATATGCTCCTCTGTAAAGGTAGCCAACAAATATAGTTATCTCCAGAACTGCGCGTGTTCAGTTTGTTTTCTGGAGTATGAAGCAATTTTGTTCTATTAATCTTTCTGTCGAGTTATGATTACTTATTGCATAGCTGAGCTATGTGGTTTGGTTTATGCTTATATTTGTATGTTAACTCAGTTGATATACCAGCACAGTGCACATTCATCTTTTTTGTAATAGATGAGTGTGTTGAACTGTCCAAGTGTGAACTGTAAAGGTAGGATTCACATCTTCACCATCAAAGTAGGAGTGACCGTTTACAAAAAAAAAAAATTTCTGTTGAACTATTGAGGTTTTAGTGTGAACTTTCATGCTTTCATGTAATCACTAGTTCCCAAATTTCAGTAACCAATAAATTACTGAACTTTATGAAACCATAGCTGAATTTCAGTTGAGTTGAATGCTCCTTAGAGGCGTGTGAGTTATGAAACCTTCTATGAGAGTTCCTTGTGAGTTCTTAGAGGCGTCACTTGATAGTGACCGCCTCCTTTCTGTTTCTTTTTCTTTCTCCTTTGAGGGGTTAGCTGCGGCTAGCACCTCGCTCGACTGTCTAAAGTCAATCTTTGTAAACTCTTGTTTCGCTCTCTTTCTTCTTAATACAATTTGGGCGACCTCCTTTGGCTGTCCCGGCTAAAAAAAAAAGTTGAGTTGAATGCTCCGAGTTTCTGACTGATAATTTAAGCATGTGTTCCTTCAAATGTATTCTTACAATGGAGTAGGATTGCCCTTATACTAAAACGAAAAGAAAAGTGTGGATATTATGCCTTTTGTCATAGGCAGATAAGCATTGCAGTTTGCCATGAAGCGACTCTACGAATTGGAATTTAGTTAGGTCAATATGCCAATAGCTACATATTGGTCCTGTGTTGTGTGAGAGTGCTTCTTTTGATTACTGGAACAAGCTAGAACAACTTAAAATTGTTCATTGAATTAGAATAGTTTTCTTCTGAAATGGCAACTAGTGAGGTCAATGATGTTTACATTTACATGCTTTATAATACTATCTAGCAAGTAGCAAATAACTTTTGTTAGCTGCACTTACTGAATGCAATTTACTACTCCCTCCATTTCATATTATAAGACTTCCTAGCATTGTCCATATTCATATAGATGTTAATGAATCTAAACACATATATATGTCTAGATTCATTAACATATATATGAATGTGGGCAATGCTAGAAAATCTTTTAATATGAAACAGATGAAGTAGTATCCACTGAATTGACATATTGCCATCTCAATCTACTTGTGAGAGTTCTATGTATGGCGAGCTACCCAACAATTTTGAGTTGTAGGGATATCGTTTTATCCTGACGAACTCAGCAAAATCATCAGCTCAGCAAAAAGCTTAAATGGAGGGATAACTGATGGAAATGGATAAGCATGTATTGAAGGATCTGGTTCTATTCTCACATGGTAAAGGTAAGAATTAATTCCTATTTTTAGATGCTCCAAAGTCATCCTTTTTCAGACTTCCGAGTAGGAGCTAGAGCATTATTTTGTTGGGCACAATTCCACAAACATTATTTGCTGCATCAGTGGTCAAAATTCCGGACCGAAATTTCATATCGGACCCCCTCCCCCCGATATGATATTATTTCGGCTGATTTTTTTTTTCATTTTTTATGAATTTGGCAATATTTTGTTCAAATTTGACGAAAAATTGTTCAAAATTTCGGACCGAAATTTCAGAAATTTCGATATATCAGCACCCTCCGATAGAAACGTTCAAACCAAAAGATTAAACCCTGGTTATACTGTCATAGAGAGAAGTTTCACTTTGGAGTTGGAAATACTGCCTGTAATAAGCAGAAAAATACTTGTCATAATCATGTTTGTTTTCTTGCAAGTTGGCTATTGTAAAAAGGTAAGATGAAATATTGCCACCCTTTTAATAAGCATCAAGCTAACTTATCCTGTCCTATCTACAGTCCAAAATATTCCTCCAATGCATACCTTTCCTAAAAGAGCTACTTTTCCAAACCGTGGGACAAGAGCTCACAGTATATATAGGGTGTGTACCATTAGCAAGCAAGCTTCCCTCTACTGAAAGATGTACTGGTTTTGAGAGCACTGAATCTACACATTATCTGAAAAATACTTTGCAATCTTGGCAAACTAGAGTTATAGTTGTTCTCAACTTGCTTTCTTATTGGTAAAAAAGTTGACTTTTGCCATCTTTTGTGTTCTAATTCACTTTTTGTATCTGTATTTAATTTCTTGGACAGCAATGATGGAGTTCATAGAGCTGGAGCTCTTCTTCATCCATGGCTTCTGCCGTTGCTCCTGACATCTGGCACTGGACCAGAAGCCTCCCCAACCCCAAGCACTGGAGGGGAAAATCCTACTATCTTCAAATCTGCAACTCTCCATCAACAAACCAGTCTCTGAACCTCATCATCAGCTGGCACTCTGAAACCCAATCCTTCAATCTGTCTTACTCCATCTGTGCTGAACACCATGATCCAGTCTCACTCTGGAGCTCCCATTATTCCAGATTGAAATCTGTTAATGGCTCAGATTTTGCCATCCATTTCTTCCACGATATCATCTGCGGGGTCCTCAGGTATGGCCCTTACTCCAACAAGATGTCACCCTTCAGGCTGCCAAATGTTCAGGTATCTGAAGATACAGGCAAAATCTTCAACCTGGCAGCACTCACTCTTGCACTCATGGTCTGCATCTACGAAGCTCCGTCCACCCTCCGACGAGACCTCATCGGCACGGTCAGTGCGCAGCTGATACGCGGCGACATGTGGGGTGCTGCGAAGAAGCTGATGCTTGCCATGGGGTCAGACATGGAGGAGCAGTGGATGCGGTCACTGAACCTCGCCGTCACCAACTGGATCATAGAGACTCGCCGGTCAGGTGGCACGCCGGTGTCGCCTTTCACGGTCTTCTCCTACGCTGTCTCGGCGATCAGGCTGTGGAAGGTGGAGCTGTACTGCCCAGTGGTCGCCATGATCATGGAGCACCCGGCTCATCAGACGAAAGATGAGAAGCTGCAGTTCTCGCTGAACTACCAGCATCTGGAGGCCGTGATCCAGTTCATCTACAGAGTCACCTTCAGGGAGAACTGGATCGACGTCACCGTCAACGTCGACAACATAAGGTTCATCTCTAATCCATTTCGCCATTGATTCTTGGACACCAACAGTGTTCACCCAAGAACTGGTGGTTTTGCAGGTGCGACCTGATCCAGCTGGTGTCGGAGACGCTGATGGCGAAGCAGGGCTACGGCTCCGACGAGAAGCACTTCCCGTCGCGGATATCACTGCAGCTGACGCCGCTGGTGCAGACGGACATCCTCTCCCTGACAGTGAGCCGGTCGACGGACAACCCCGCCCAGGAGGTCGACACAGAGATGGGCCTCGACGCGACGCTCAGCGCAGCACCGGCGACCATCGGCATCACCATGTCGGCGCACGAGACGGTGACGAGGACACTCCGGCCATGGAAGTTCGAGCACTCGGTGCACGGCAACACGGCGGCGCTGAACTGGTTCCTGCACGGCGGCGCGGAGGGCAGGGAGGTGTTCTCCAGCGAGCCGCACAAGCGGGAGCTGCTCCAGCCGCGGTCATGGTTCAGGAACCGGTACACCAACCCGGGCAGGCCGTTCACCAGGGGCGGCGGCGTGATCTTCGCCGGCGATGAGTACGGCGAGAGCGTTTGCTGGAGGATGCCCGCCGCGGCGGCGGGCAAGACGGTGGAGTGGGAGATGAAGGGGAGGATATGGGTGACGTACTGGCCAAACAAGAAGAGGACGCTGCATGTTGAGACCAGGAGGGTCGAGTTCAGAGAGCTACTGCGTCTCACCATCAGAGAGTAGACCAATTTGTCATCATCTGGTTTCATATTTGAAAATTGTTTTAATTTTTTTTAATGATTACTTAATCAAGACTCTGAGAATGTCTGCTTCTGTTATGGAATTCAAAATTATGTTGGGCATTACCCGTAACCCTTGTGCAGGCGCAAACATATGGAGAGACTGAAGATTGGTCACTTGTAGTTGTAGTACCTATTTTTTTTTTTCGTTCTTTTTTTTTTTGGGTCGAAAACCAGGAGTTGTTTTACCTGTTATGAAGATTTCAGAGTTTTAGAATTCAAAAGTTCCTGACGTGTAAGTATTTGTCATGCCATTTGAAAATCTCTAGTTTGAAGTTTAACTCTTTCCCTTGGAAAGCTTCTGTAACTTTTGAACCAGAGTTTGGAGCTGTATATTGGGAGCTCTTGAGGTATGAACCAGACATTTACATGATATTCCAATGTTATAAAACCTTGCAGATAACAAATTGTGCTATACAGGCCTAAATGTTCAAGGTCAAATTTGAAAATGTATGACTGCAAGCATTGGAAGAGGTTGAATATGCGATCCTTTTGTCTCCGATGTTGAGTCTTGTGGAAGGACCAAGGAGATATTGTGACAGCATTCATCCGTCGGCCGTCTCGTGCGAGCGTGTGGCGTGCGCGGGCTAGCACAAACTCAGCGCGGGATTGGCACAAGCACGGCTCGACCTGGCAAGGAGGGGAGAGAGCGGAAACAGAGGGAAAGGATGGAAGAATGATAGAAAAGATGGAAAAAGAAAGAAATAAGAATGCGAGAGGGAAAAATTATACAAGGAGATAAAGAAAAAGATGGAGAAAAATAAAATGGATGGAATTGGAATTGGTGTAAAATTTAAGTGGTGTGATATTCGGGATAGAATTAAATTCGGATCAAATGAATTATTTGAAGGGTGAGCTGCACTTGTGGTAAAATTAAACGAGAAAATAAACGACTAACTCTGCCGTCATTCGCACTCAGGAACCAAGGATAAAAATACTGGTCTGCTAAAAATATTTAGAAAAAAAAAAGAATTCAGAACCCCATTTTACATTAAAGCTACTGTGTAACCAAATTATATCGCTTGATGGATAGACCAAAGGACAAATCTACAACAATCTCCCCACCTTGCAACTAGTATCAGCAGCATGACAGAACACAAGCAAAACATCCAGACTGCTCTGCAATTAAATGATGAGAAAAATCATTATTGATCGATGCAATATGAATAACTATTGCAATTAAACTATTAAGGGGAGAAAAACCTGGAAATAAGAGTGGGAGAAAAAGTTACCAGAAGCCATGGCACTACGAGGTGTCATCTGAGCCCATCCTATCCTATCAGTCTTCATCATGACGGAAACGTAATTTCTTGTGTGCCAGAAAAAAGAATACTATTTTAGAAAAAATGTCCCTTTTTGTGGAAGTGAAATATAGTATTCTCAAAACCTAAAAATGTTCCTTTTTGTGGAAGTGAAATATAGTATTCTCAAAACCACAGCATTAGGTTAAGGACTTACCCTCTCAGATTTATCATAGAATCTAACAGGCAGTGTGACATCTATTTCCACACCACTCTTGAGATCACAAACTCTAAGCTGATAAAAAAGAATAAGCGTTAGTATTTTTGTCCTTATTTTCAATTACTAATACCAAACTTTGACTTATAAGTATTTTAGTGTTTAAAGACAGTAATGAATCCCAAAAGCGTTGTCCTATACTCTAATCCACACGACATTTTGGGATTGTCCTATACTCTAATCCACAATACTCTAATCCACAATACCTCTAATCCATCCACAATACTCTAATCCACAATACCTCTAATCCATAATACAGTAATGAATCCCAAAAGGGTTGTACTATACACTAATCCACCTCCTGAGCATACCTTGATATCTTTAATGCAATTTAGTTTGTCCTCCAAATAACCCCAGCCAAGTAATAGAAGATAATCTTCCAGCTGCACATAAATTTTTAACATTTAGCGACGGCATTTGCATCAAGATTGACTGATGTTTCTCTTCACCTCAGGTAACGTTAGAGCACCCTTCCCATTTATAGAAGTAATTACATTACCACGCTTTATCCCAAGATCCTCGGCGACAGGATTATACACCTAAAGACAAAAAAAAAAAATTACAATAGCATCCACAATGCATACAGATACTGAACAGCCTTAATTACCCTATCTACAAGGAAACCACCCTTGATGCCAAAGTCACTGATATCCTCCTGAAGCTGCACATCCAACAGCGCTATTGTTCTGACACCAATACCAAAAAGGGGGCGAGCAACCTGACTGAGAAAAGTTGACAAGTTGATAGTAAAAAAAATTGAACTGCAAACATTTTCATGCCAGGACAATGGTAGAACCACCCTTATAATACCATTTTATTATCCTAAATGGCACATTGACTAGATACATTAGGTTATCCTAAAATTCTAGCAGCATTCCAAGAGATGGCGTAAGAATACGATTTAGTTCTAGTACATAATCGTTCCACATGTTAGATTTGATTACAAGAAACATCAGCCCCAAGAGAACTTAAATCTTAAGTACTTAATCTTACACTGAACTCGACGTTTACCAGAAGTTAGCATTTCATACCAGGTTTATACATCTAATACTGAAACTTATCCACACTAGCATGCAAGGGATGGCAGCAAAGCCACCAGCCAGTACACACATTCAATTCTGAGATTCAGTAAGCATAACACCATTTATTTCAGTATATAGAGATCAATTAAGTTCTAATGTGAGGATCATAGATTGGATGACTGAAAAAAGCCAACTTGAACTGCATAAACATGCCAATGCATAGTTAGCATTTCATACCAGGTTTATACATCTAATACTGAAACTTATCCACACTAGCATGCAAGCGATGGCAGCAATGCCACCAGCCAGTACACACATTCAATTCTGGGATTCACTAAGCATAATTCCATTTATTTCAGTAGATAGAGATCAATTAAGTTCTAATGTGAGGATCATAGATTGGATGACTGAAAAAGCCAACTTACTTGAACTGCATAAACATGTCAATGCATTTTACAATAGTAGAAATTGAAGTAACAGCAGGATAGGGGCTACAATAGATTGCCATCCCTCTAACTACACCATCATTGTCAATCACCATTCCTTCATTCCCACCCTGCATCAAAGAAATACTACAGAATTAAATAAGCAATTAAGCAATAATAATAAAATACAAAGAAAGAAAATTATTACCTCAGGGATGTCACAGCTCAGAAACATGTAGTGGTCACGCCCTAAAATATCTGATTCTTCTAACCATTGGATATCTCCTCGCCTAGCCCTCAAGGATGCCTCTCCATCCCTAGCCAACACAAAAACTTCTTGACCATACTCTGGGCCACGTCCAAAAGATGGGAGCTCCATGGTAACTTCTAGATTGATATGTAATAGGGCAATGTCATAATGATCATTGAAGTAGATAAGCTCCGCATCCAAGACAGTCTTCTTGTTCGGTAAGCAAACAGATAGCTGAAAATTAAGATGGATGTTGATCAGATATAGTTAAATAGCAAAGCCGCATGCAACGTTCAAGATTAAATAACAGTTGGTCATAAAAGCACCACAAAAACAAGGACTCCAGAATGGACAAACCCTAGCTATGGTCAAGCTGAGCTGATGATGTTGTAATGTGGCAAAGGCAACAAGACCTGATACTGTTGAAATATCACAACAAGGCCATGGAACAAGTTTAAGAGCACTATAGGATGAAAACTGAGGTACAAATATTCGCTTAATGTAAAAGGAAAAAGAGAATCTGCAAGCAGTTGCAGGCAGAATCAAAAGGACAGCACAACCTCTGTGAGGATATGGCCCTATCGTTTCATTTATGCTCATGCTTTTAATCCAAATTTTGAATTTTTAGAACTTAATTTTGGAGATGATTTTAAAGTTTTTTCATCATAGTTTATTTTACAACATATACTTTCAAATCGCTAACGACATGTATGTAAAAAAATTACCTACAAATTATTTTTGGGTTGCTAATAAGCCGTACAAATAAGGCCCTCTTTGTTTAGGCTTATAAGCCAACTTATAAGCCAAAAAGTCTAAGCCTAAACAAACAAGCAGCTTTTTCGTTTGGCTTTTTTGAAGCCATAAGCCACTATTAAGCCAAAAGCTAGGTTGGAGAAGCTTTTTTGGCTTATATGAGATATCCGTATGACTCCACCACTAAACTTAGGACATTAAATTCACTAGCTTATAAATCATATAAGCCAATAAGCTGACTTAAAAGTCTAAGCCAATAAGCCTAAGCCTAAACAAAGAGGGCCTAAGCATAGCCATAAGCAAAACAATGGGGCTAGGAAGAAAAATTCAGAAATGAACAGGTAGGGCAAGTGTACCGAAATACTACTAAAACATGAAGGTAAAAAGAAACATCTAGGGCTACTAAAAACAATAGTGAAACATTAATATAATTGGATGTTAAGCCATCATTGAAACACACACTTGCACAATGAATATGCACCATTCAAGGAAAATTTTTCGCCTAAAATGCAGCATGCTCTAGGTAGCTAAACCAAGCTACCCCATACATGTGGAGGGGCTACTCATCATAAGAAGAACAGAATGAAAAGCTACATAGAGCCTGCAAGCACTATAGTGAAAGGAAAGTTTTGTACCTTGGGTAAGGGATCACGTTTTCTACCCGCTTCGCATACGATCCTAGAATAGGTCACTATGGTAGCATGATGATGCCCAGTGTCATCAGACCATTGTTTAATAATAATGCCAGTACATTGTGGTCGCCTCTGCCCATCTGCAAACATAGGTATGATGCTGTAATCATCTAAAGAGGAATAGATTGGATGAATCTTGCTATTATTTTGTCACTAAATCATACCATCCATGATGTGCGAAATGCTGACAATGGCGCGTGCCGCCTGCAAAACCACCACCTTGTCTCTTGAGCTCTGTATGGCCTCGGTGGTGTATGGGTCCTTGGGCTCAGTCTTGATAGGGATATCTTTATCACGTTCTGAAAGAAAACAAATTTATTTAGGGCTTCTAAAATGGGGAAATTTAACTATTTGCCACTCTTGTGACATGGCAATTAACGATTTGCCACATCTTGTCAATGACATGTGGGCCCTCATGTGTCTATGACATGTGGGCCCTCATGTGTCTATGACATGTGGGCCTAGTGGCAAATCGTTAAGCAACATCCGTAAGAGTGGCAAATAGTTAAAAGCCCCTCTAAAATGTGCATTATAAGATTTTATTTTTAAATTTCTGTTGCAACACGCGGGTATTCAGCTAATACTCATAAATTGGAGTAACAAAGTTGGATCAAGTGACATATGAATATAGACATGTGCTCGATCCTACCAAACCCTAAATCCCGAACCCAAATTGGGGATTTGCAAAATCTTAGACGATTGATAAATAAATAGCGAAACTGGAAAAAGAAAATTCAGAAGCAAACTAACAAACCTTTCTCAATTTTCTTGATGATCTTACTGACCTCGTGGCACTCGTCGTTCCACTTGCGCACATCCTCAACATTGCCATCCTCTGGGAATGGCGGGTATTGAGGACGACGGGGTGCAGGAGCAAAAGGTGAGACAGTTGTTCCGGGCGAAGTCTGCCCCTCTGCCCTCAGCAGCCTCTGCTTCGCTTCTTCCGTAAGAAGCGCGATAGTCGGGCGTGTCGGTCCTCGCTGCTTCCTCTTTCTTCTTCTTCTTCCCGGTCTCTGTTCTTCAGATTTCTCCTCAGCGGCATCTCCTTCGCTCCTCACGGCACTCGTTTCTGATCTGCTGCTGCTGGGGTCTGGAAGAGGGAGGGGCACAGAGCTTCTTCGACTTGGAGAAGACATTCGATCAGCGGGGGGCAGCACCACGACCGGCCTTGCCAACTTGGCGCGCGGGAGAGGGCCTGAAGGAGGATGCGGCGGCGCCGGCGGCAGATTTGTCGGCTTGCCGAAGAGGACGAGCAGGGGACGGAGGACGAGGGAGAAGAGACGGAGGCCCAACAATTCGCTTTATATAGAAGGAAAATGTATACTTTGACTCCCTCAACTATCCCTCGATTTATAACCTCCAACCATAAAACCGGGTATATCGGCTCCTCCAACTATTAAAACCGGTGCAAACAAGATTTTGGAGGTGGTTTTAGCTGACGTGGTATTCACACGGCGGTGTTGATCAAGTCTCTATTCTACGTGGCGCTTATGTGGCATTAGAATTAAAAATATATGTGGGACCCATATGCCATTCACACACACAAAAAAAAAAAAAGAAGAGTATTGTGGGACTCCTTCCCTTCTTCCTCCCCCTCTCTCTCCCTTATCTCTCTCCCCTCGGCCTTTCTCTTGGTCGGAGCAGCGACTGGGACGGCAGTGGGGAGCGGTGGCGGCGGTCGGGACGGCGGCGGTGAGCGGGCAGATGCTCTCCAGCCTCGCCTTGATCCGATTGATGGCGTCGTAGCCTCGCATGCTCCGGTTGGGCGTCGCGTCCCTCTCCCCCTTCCCGCTCCTCGACCTCAGCATGATCGATACGTCACACCCCTGCAATCAACACTCAGATGATCGATCGCCATGGACGAGCAGGAAGTAGCTTGAGCCTGGGCAATTAAAATTGTTAATTACCTGGACGAAGCAGTCGTGGTAATGCATCCGGTGCAGAGACGGCGCGAGCGTGGGATCCTCCTCATCTCGCCCAGCACGACGTCCTCCGCGACAGGGCACTTGGCATGGTAGAACCCCACCTGCAGCCCGGGCCACGCCGCTGCCGTCGCCGAACCTGCGACGACCTCACCGAGTCACCGCTCACCCGTAGGGCCAGCAAAAACAGCAGGAGCTCCAGCTCCCGGGACATGAGGCAGCAAGCTGTCTCAACGGCGCCGCGCTGCTCCCCACCGCCACGGCCGCTGCCACTCCCGACCGCCTCCACCGCTCCCCACCGCCACCGCCACCGCTTCCGACCGTCGCTGCTCCCCACCACCTCGTCCCCACCGCCACCATCGGCGAGCTCCTCCCCAGGCGCGCGGACGGCCGGCGAGTTCCACCCCCGCGCGCGGACGCCGGCGATCTTCTCCCCCGGCGCGCGGACGGCAGGCGAGTCCACACCCGCGCGTGAACGCCGGCGAGCTCCTCCCCAGCGCGCGGACGGCAGGCGGACGGTCGACGAGCTCCTCCCCCGCACGCGGACGCCCGCGAGCTCCTCCCCTTGCGCACGGATGGCCGGCGAGCTCGTGGGACGGCCGGCTGGCTCCTCCCCGCGCGTGGACGGCCGGTGAGATCCTCCCCCGTGCGCCGTCGACATCGCTGCCGCCCCGCCTCTAGTGTTGGAAGGTGAGAGGAGTGGAAAAGATGAGAGCGAGAGGGGGGAGAGGTGAGGATGACATGTGGGGCCCACATATCCGTGGGTCCCACTATTTTCTTTTTGTGTGAATGATATGTCGGTCCCACAATTTTTTTTACTCTAATGCCACATAAGCGACACGTCGACAACACGCGGGACGAAGACCGGGTCAACACCGCCACGTGGGCACCACATCAGCCAAAACCGCTTCTAAAACCACCCAGGGATATAGTTTGCATGAGTTTTGATAGTTGGATGAGTCAATATATCCGGTTTTGTGGTTGAAGGTCATGAATCATACTCAGACCATAGTTGAGGGAGTCCAAGTATACTTTTTCCTACGTAAAACCCTAGCTCTTCTGCAATTCGCTTTTACATAAAACCCAATGGGCTCCTCATCGTAGCGCGGCCCATTTTGCAGTTATAAGTGGTTTTTCTTTCTTTTTTTGGTTTATTTTTAATTTTGTTTCTTTTAAAACCACTAGCAAAGTGCTCGTGGGTTGCAACGGGGAAAATTAATTATTTGAGGTTGTGTTAATAACAAAATTTGGTAAGATATGCTCAAAGTTAAAGATAACACCGAGGCAGATTTGGAGCGGATGTAATCTTTCCAGAAACAAAGTGTGCATCGGCTAGCAGGTTGTATCGGTTGAGTTTGAATCGGATATAGTTGGTCTCGAATCATGATTTCAACGCTTTTTTCATACGTAGTTAAAGTCCATTACAGGCAATTGTATCTATTAATTAGAAATATTTATGTCTTCAGATGTTTTTGGCAAGAGTCCACCACGAGGACTTGTTCATATGTTTTATAACTTAGGAAAGTTTCAGTCGTGTCTAGTATGGACAAGTTTGTACTACGGGTATAAATATATTCCTAGAATCATGTAGAACAAAAACGATCGTTCAATACACTCTCAGCGCATCGCCACCCTTTTTTACTTTTCTACTTTTGACGAGTTCTTACTTCGAATTAGGACATCGGTTTCAATCTCCCGATGGGAGGTAACACTTGTCACAATGGTTTGCATTATCGAGGTTATTATGTCATTTTAGATATGTTAATGTTCTTAATATAATCACTGATTATCAGATATCGTAGTTAATATAAGTTGATATTTCGATTTACTTGTATTGGCTGGAACTTTTCTATGGTTTTGTCGTCGATATCGGCTAAATTGTTTTGTCGACTAAGGTATCTACTACCCTGAAAATCGGTCAAAGCTTGATTGTTTAGATACCATGTTTCTCTTCATAATTTATGATGCATCAATTGAGTTTGACCTATTAAGTCATGCTTAGAACCATGAGCTCTAGCATGTTTCTTGATTGCCAATAAGGGTAGAATTGGAGTTTCAGCCGATCTTATCTGATATAATAGTTTTAACATGTTTTGCTTAGCTTAGTCATGTTTTACATATTATATTTGCCCCTTATACATATGTATCACCTTATTTAAATATATTTAGTTTGCATTATATATATTTACTTACATTGATATCTCTATGTATAAGGTTGTATCAGAGTATTAGCTGGTGCATTATCTTTCACTAGATATCTAGGCATGCCCTGGCGCGCCGCTTGGAGAGAGCTTGGTTGCTGAGTATAGAATTGCAATCCTATGGCATTACTGGTTCAATCAGTGCAGTAAATATTATGAAAAAAAAGTGACATAGAATAGCATTAGGAAAGTTGACGAAGGTAATAAAAGGATTAGAAACATAATATAACAGAGTAGTTTATATGGAGGGTGATGAACTGTTCATCGGTGTAAGGGTAGTGAAAATGACCGGTGTAAGGGTAACCTTATGCACGACTTAATATAATAGAATAGCATAGTGAAAGTTGACGAAGGTAACAAACAAAAGGATTAGAAACATAATATAACAGAGTAGTTTATATGGAGGGTGATGACAGTTCATCGGTGTAAGGATTAGAAACATAATATAGCATTAGGAAAGGTTTTTTCCTAAGCATTGCATTACAGTAGTAGGTAGAGATGAAACCTTGAGCGCAATATTTACAGTGAAACAAACTGTGCATAACAAGGATATAAAGGTTCTAAGTAATCAGCATAGCGGTGCTAGTCTTAGAGTAGGTCTCATGATGGTAGAAAGATGGATGTTTATGCGCTTCATAACAGTAGAAGTATGTTGCTGGTGCAGGGCATGAACATTGCATTCACAGGAGATGTACTGTTGCCTGCAACTGATTCATCTTGTGGAAGTGAAAAATGCAGATTCTTCCCACTTGTATCTTGTTGGCTGCTGCAAAATCTGACCATATCCTGCCTTTAGGTTTTAGTGTCCATCTGTTGACTTTTGAAGAAGCATGGTGGTTGATGTGTTTCTTGTAATTTGTACTTGAATTTGTGTTGTCTTACGCTGTGCTAGTGGCTGAATATATTTCTTTGAAAATTATTTTGTGCGAAATCTGACCATATCCTGCCTTTAGGTTGTAGCATCCATCTGTTGACTTTTGAAGAAGCATGGTGGTTGATGTGTTTCTTGTAATTTGTACTTGAATTTGTGTTGTCTTGCGCTGTGCTAGTGGCTGAATATATTTCTTTGGAAATTATTTTGTGAAGTACTGTCATAAAAATTGCATGTCACATATTTATTTTTCAAGAGAGTAGATTGATTGCAAGTGAAAGATCTTACCACCCTGTCTTACTTCATGAATGTTTTTCATAGTAACAATGTAGAATTTGCTTGAGTAGTCTAGGAATTGTGCAATATCTCTAACGTAGTTCTTTACTTCACTTGATAGCTTCATCCGTTTGTTATAGCAGCACATATCTTTGACAATGCGTTTTGTGTTGGCTGCGGGAAAAAAAGTGGATAAGCATTTTTCTCACTATAGAAGAAAAAAAAATTGATGAATTTCATTGAAAGAATTTCATTGAAAGTAATAAGTAAAGTATTTGGACCTGTAGAAGTTGATCCAGTATGGTGCTTGAACCTGAGTTGGATGTGTTCGTTTTTGTGTGATTTAGTTTTGTGGACTCTACCTGAAAGGCAAATCATAGTAAGAAAGTTAGATAAAGCTGAAAATACAGTGAGTAAAAGTGAAGTTAATACCTTCAACGTTGGTAAAAGATGGATGACGAGGCGCAGTTGATTTGGTTGAAAAGCTTGGTGCAGAAGATGATTGGTTATTGATAAGTGCCTTGGCCGCTTTATCTGGAATTGGACATCTACTATATCCTTCTTTGTTAAATATGATCACATTGAGTCTTGATTTTGATAAGGTCCTGAAAACAACAGATTTAGATTCTCCCATCTTTAAGCCAGCTTCTTGTATGAATTCCTTCCATCCTATTGTCATGTACAGCTTGTCACGTGCTTCTGCTACTTTGACGCGGATCTTCAAGCCATGTGCAGTCATTAACTTGAGAGTTCGTCCATGCTTAAGCCTAGATGCTTTTGTAACTGCAACTGGGATAGGCTGTATAATTGAAAATTTGTATTAGCACTTGTAAAGTCAGCATACTGTACAAGACATAAAATATTTCTTGTTAAGCTCACCAGATAGTCTTGACTTGCTGTCTTAATTTTGACCATGGAGAATGTTGGTGAATGCATGATTGTAACTTCAAATTGTATGGTTTTAGTGAGGTGTGTAATATATAGAGAGTAATAAGAAAGAATTCATGGCGTGCTTGGATGATACTTTTCAGTTTAATTATGAAGTGTTTATCTTTTATTTTAAAGAATTGGATGTTGGTTTAGTTGGCAAAAGTAGTCGATAAAATAAGCTGAAATACTTAGTATTGTATTAAATACAATGTTGTAAGTTGAGTGCTGAATTGAAAATATTGGATGCAACTTAGGAGGGATGTATATAGTGAGATACGAAAATGAAAAATCACAATATAGTTAAATAAGTAAGAAATGTTGCGTGAGATGATCGATACAAACATATATCCATTAATTAGTTTATTAGCCACTTTTATGATTATTTACAGTACATAGTTATGTTCACTCTACGTTGAATGTATAGTGTTTGAGATGCTGTGGAAGGATTATGTCATGATAAAAATGACACGTCAAATGTGTTAGAGATACATATAATTCGAATAAAACTAGGAAATTTAGCAAAAACCAAGAGTGGTCAATGTAGAGTGAACATAACTATGTACTGTAAATAATCATAAAAGTGGCTAATAAACTAATTAATGGATATATGTTTGTATTATTAAAAAGTAACCATAGTAAACATAGATAAATGATGGCCCAAATGAATTTCCATGTATGTTTAGGATGGATTTTGTGCGAATCTGTGTTTACCATGTTATGCCATTGTTGTTATAGGTAAAACAATGTAGAGATAGATTTAAAGAGGTCGGGGGCGAAAATAAATAACAGTTGGAATATGAGTTAAGAAAAGTGCTCAGTTAATTTATCCTTCGATATAAACGACATAAAAAGTGCTTTTATTTTTAAAGTAAGGGTAGTTTTTTTTATTTTGGTTTCATTTTTTAATATCTAAGTTAATAAGATATCCGTGTAATGTTTAGCTGTGCTATGTATAACTGCATTTTTTTTGCATTTTTTTATCATTGTGGGTAACAGTTGTCGTTGTATTTGCGCAGGAGATAATGATATTAGATTGCATGTAAAAACATGGATCTATGGTTAGATTACCTAGTAAAAGATGACTTGCGTGCAATAACTCCAAGATCTTGCAATAGACGAATTTTTACATCCTGCGACATAAAAAATATGATTTGTCACTTATCTGTAAGTTGAAAGGTAATAATAGAAAAGGGTAAAAAGAAGAACAACAAATTATATTAGCGTTAAGATAAGAGGCTGTGAGATGGAGTAATGATTTATGGGCTTGGTTTGGCAAGGGTAGATCTGTGAGTGGGAAAGCGAAGGGAGGGATTGGAGAGATGCTTAAAGAAGCGATTAATCAGTGTTCAGTGTTGATTTTGGTGATGGTGTTACGGGTGTTGTGATTTTAAGCAGATGAGAAGGATGGCTTGC